AGTGGTGTGCAGGTCTTATGCACATCTGCACACCTGCACAGAAAAGGTCACAAAAGACTCTTTCATGCAAACTGACAGTAAGCGTACATGCAGCAGAATGCATTTATTGTCATAACAGAGGACAGTTGCTAGGCCGCATGCGTAGGGTTACAATTAGGGTTAGGGTTCTAATATTCAAGCACACCTGCACCAGTGCATCCACACCTGGAAGCATAGGGCACTTTAAATTAAAGCCTGCATCGTAGCGAGCATGCTCTGGATCGCCAAGTCAATTTCCACCACACATGCAACAGTGCATTTATACGTCCATTTTCTGGTGCATCAGTGTTGCTGCATACATACACATATGTGAAGGTGTGCATCTTCACTAGTTCCTTTTTGGAGTGGCTTTTCTTGGCATATGACAGCTAGAGGGCACTTTCCTGGAGACTTTTAGATGTGCGTCATCTAAAGGCCATGCCTACAAGTCACCCTCAAAACACTCCTTTTTGTCCGTGTGTATAGCCCCTAAGTGATGGCTGCAAGTTTCTATGTAAATATGAGTTCTTTTGCATGAATCATCTCTTGATGAGGGCAGAGTGTTTACCATGGGCTTTCTTCCTTTCTTGAGAGCAGAACCTGTTAAAATGGCATGCTGAACCCATCCATAACTGACGCCCTAGGCCTTCTTAATTTTCCAAGCTCTGTAAGAATATTTATTTAAAGGATCCTTTTAATTTCAGTCCCCACAGAGTTGAAGTGGCATTTATAATAACACTCTTAGCTATCAAGGTCCAACATCATTTCCCCAAGCATCAGAAAGTGAGAAAGTAGAAATTGAAGCTTAAATTCCCAGTGCTTGGGGTAATGATAAAACAAGATGTTGGGGATCATGGCAAATACCTAACAGAAACAGTGTGACTCATATGAAGTACCCATTAAATTCAGAGAATTTTGGTTTTAAGTTTTTCTTTCTAATCATACTGCCTTTCCTTCAGTGGTTGGACAGTGTGTTGGCAAAAATCTGCAGTTCTGTGCATCTTTTTTTTTTTAAACTGCTTTTTTGATTACAGAGAAATAAGTATGTAAACTACAGTGGTGGCTGGTGGCTTCTGTGTTGGGGATGGTGGTAGTGGTGCTAAGTCTATCTCTCTTTAAATTACTTGTTCTCTGCAGGAAATAATAATTTAAAGCGATAGATAGATAGATAGATAGATAGATAGATAGATAGATAGATAGATAGATAGATAGATAGATAGATAGAGTTGGAAGAGACCACAAGGGCCATCCAGTCCAGCCACCTTGTCATGCAGGAAGACACAATCAAAGCACTTCCATTAGATGACCATCCATTGTCCCGTCCTTACTCATTTTCCCCAGCCATCCCTTGTACTCATATAGTGATCACAGAGAGGAGATGGTTGCCTGCAACTGCTATTATAGCCAGTGACAAAACAAGCCTCACTTGGTTGCTAGCAAGAGTGGGGTGGGGACAGGTGAGAGAACAGCAATGAAAGGAGGATGTCTTGTTTATGGTACTCAAAGATGCAGGCAGCCTCCTGGAGCTCCTAGGGTTCCCCCAGAAGTCATAGAATCATAGAATCATAG